GTCGGCCTGCGGTGGGGAACGGATCATTGTTTTCACGACAAACTACGTGGAGAAGCTCGACCCGGCACTTATCCGGAGGGGGAGGATGGACAAGCACATTGAGCTCTCGTATTGTGGGTTTGAGGCGTTTAAGGTTCTTGCCAAGAATTATTTGGAAATCGAGGAGCACGAGCTGTTCGGCAAGATTCGGTTGATGTTGGAGGAGATTGAAATGACGCCTGCTGATGTGGCGGAGAATCTGATGCCGAAAGTTTTAGGTGAGGATGGGGAGAGAGGTCTGGTGAGATTGATCGAGGCACTTGAGGAGGCCAAGGAGCTGGCCAGCGTCAAGGCCGAGAAATTAGCTAAAGAGGAACAAGAAAAAGACGATGGGAAGAAGAAAAAGGATTTGGATAATGGTGTAGTGAAAGAAAATGGTGAGGCTAAAACAGAGGATTTGGAGAATGGAGTGGTCAAAGAAAATGTTAGAGTCTAACTGAATAGATTTTGGCACTGAATTATGATCACTTCTCTACTTTGTTCTGGTATAGTTCAGATTATGGCATTGAATTAGGATCACTTCTCTACTTCTGTTCTGGTATAGTGAACTTGTTGTTCCCATGTTCACGACGAATAAGAATGATTTTGAAGAGGTTCGCTGTTCTGTCTTACCTCGTGGTTTAAAACCACTGCAATACCGATAGAACCAAGCCGAAACTATTTGTAGTATGGTTCAGGTGGATTTTAGCAGTTTCGAGAATTCGAACCGTAAACTTTTTTTTTGAAGCGTGCGAGCTTGCCACTTAGACTCAGCACATTCACAAATTATATACAGGGAATTATTGAGTGTCATTCACGGAAACAATTAAATTATGGGGCAAATTATTATTCCCGTATGATTGGGGTGTTTGAAAAATAATCACCTCAGTTTTTAGAATCTGTAGTTGTACACATTACAAATTCTCAAAAGGGAGAATAAAACACTAACACAAACCAACACTAAACACACTAGATACTAAACTAAAGCCCTTTCCACAACCGACAAGCCACTCCAACCAAAAGCACGACACAGACACCCGAGGGCGACCACCCATAGGATAGATAGACAACTCGGGTCGTAAATCCAGAAACTGCAGTATGCCAACACCTAAATAGATCTGAAACCACATACCCTACCCCTCACCCAGGTGGAAAACCTCATACCAGCAACCGGAAACCTTCGTCAAACTCGACCCCAATACCATCGACGACTCGACGACGACCCGGTCCTGAACACGAACCAAACCACTACCCAACCCCGTCAGCGCATCCCCTCGGCCCAACACCATGGAAAAAATGGACAGAGAAGAAGAAGACTCTGACCTCTGCCCCGAACACCACAACAAGGTAATCGGAACCGCAACCCACACCAGCAGTTGCAGGGAGACCGCCTACGCAAAGACGCTGGTGGATAAACGTAGGACCAACCCCGCAATGGCAACTTGCTAAGAGTTGGGACCCACTCGAGGGAGGAGCATCTACGGCCGACAACTCTCCGAGAGTCGAGCCGCACGGTCCGGCAATGGCATTGTCGTGATGGCGCGGAAGACCCCGCTGTGAAGGTGCAGAGAAGCAGAGCAAATGGAGGTTTTTTTTTAGAAAGGGGAAAGGGGGTCAGGAGAGTTCAATTTTTCTTAGAGTGTTCATGTGATATTAGTGTTCATATGATATTTTATTCCACACTTTTTAAAATTTCGATTTCAGTTATGGGGTTTTTTCATTGCTAAAAGACTTGAAACATAGGAATTTTTGTAATATGAGCATTTGAACAAAAAAAATATTTTGTTCGCTTTCATTTTAATTTGTGTTTGTAGATATAAATATGTTGGGTAAATTCACCTGAAAAGTTAGCTGATAACGGGTAGTTTATGACTTGCTACTAAAAAATAATAGATATGTTTGATAAACAGGTTGATAAGGTAATTAAAATAAAAAATTAAATAAAATATTTTGAAAATCTACCTAATGAAACTTGCGGATAGCCGCCAACATTTAAGAAATTTCATTATATCAAATTAAATTTATTTGAATATAAAAAACTTTTACAATAATTTATTTTTTTTTATAATTCTATCCGAATACACTAATTCCATTTTTTTTTTTAATATTTGTCTAGATAAGCTTCATAGTGGATTATTAGAATAAAAAAGAAAAGTTTGTTAAGTTAAATGATTATATACCCTTTTATATAAGTTTTATTACCCACTGTAGCTCAATGAACAAAATCATCGCAAATGAAGTTATGCTAACATTATAATAAATGGGATATTCTCCGGTCCCATTACGGAACCATTTCGTCGAAATTTGTAACTGTTAGATGACGATTACATGATGATTTAAAATTGTTCCAAATTTCAACAGAATAGTTATATAACAAACTGTAGCATTTTCCTAAATTATATACCCGTTTATAAGTTTTACATTAACCAATTCAGCTCAAAGAGCCCAAATCACCATAAATGAATGATATATATATCTAATTTTGTTTTACTTTTCATTCCGTTGCCTCTCATTACTCCAATTGCCAAGGTCAAAATCCCTTTTAATTATTTTTATTTAAAAATTTAGTTTTAAATAAATGGTCAGAAACTCGCCGAATAGACAGACAGCACTCGGTTGCCAGCAAGATCACAACAAAAAACACAAACATATATAACTTTTCTTGTTCTATTCTATCGCTTATATAGAGAAAAATAAAAAGAGATAAATAAGGCATACAAATTAAGATTACATGAAAATTATAATCAAATCAATATTCACAATATTAATTTAGGAAACAATCAAATAAGTCCTACAAATTAAGATTATATGAAAACTGCTATAATCAATCTAAGAAAACAATTAAATAAGGTCTTACTAATCTGAAAATTATAATCAAACCAATATTCACAATAAATTTAGGAAAACAATTAAATAGGCCCTGCAAATTAAGATTACATGAAAAATTGCTATAATCAACCCAGTATTCACAATTAATCTAGGAAAACAATTAAATAAAGTCATACAAAACAAGATTACATAGAATTATAGAAACTATATAATCAACTCAAGTATTCATAAATAATCTAGGAAAGCAACTAAGAAAAGAAAATAAACTAATTTAAGTACACCAAAAATATATTCTACGATTAATCTAGGAAATCAAACTAAGGAAAGGAAATAAGTTAATTTAGTTGTACAAGGATTAGAATCCTATAGTACAATTAAGATTCTACATGACACCGTTGGAGATTGATGGCTTCATGTCGCCTATATAAATAAGTACCACACAGAAACATCTGATGCCCATCAACAAAACTAAAGA